CACCCATGGAAATAACAGCCATGAAATTCATAGATGTTTCTGCCATCAAACCCGTCTACTTTCATTCCATTGACTTAAACTTCTTTACCTCGACCTGCGTGGTCAATCCTAATCCCGTTGGTTTCCTCGACCCAAGAAAGCCATTGGAGCGCTATATTTGATTGATTGTCTACTAATCGATAGCCGTTTTTAGGGATAAGTCCGATAGTATTGGGTTTCAAGAAATTACGGCGGAAAGCTAGATTGCAGGCACTTGCAATGGTAACAGCCTCGAGAAACGGGTCAACATTACACTCTTTTAGGAAAATTGAGCGAAACTTTAGACAGGCTTGAGTCAAGATATCAACATCTGAAATACAGTAGGCTAGGATCTCATTTTTAAAGTTAAACACATATTTACTAGCGATCTGTTCGCTATACCATTTTTCAAAGTCATTGTGAGATTTCTCGAACATAGATTCGGGGCAGTAGTACTTTTTGTCTGGCATAAGGCCTACGTAGTCTTGGTTTGCCAGAGTGTTGAACAAATGGGGAAAATAGAGTTTCTTTTTCTCTGGAGGTAGGTCGAAGGCTTTAGGCAGAGCAGACAAAACCATAGGGAAGTAGCTAAGTGAGTCAACAAACTTCACATTATCAATTTCCATCAGAATAATCTTAGTTCCCCGCATTACAAGTTCTGGTGTGAATTTTGTTTCTTCCAACAAGTACTTTAGCAAAAATTGAAAGTCAAACCCCTGCCCATTGTGTGCAATTACGCAGACGTTTTTAAACTGTTTCCTTACATACATTACATAATTCATAAACTGATTGATAGGGTCAGAGTCAAACACTCGTGTACGATTTTTACATGCTATACAGAATTTTCCCTCAATACACTGGTAACAAAATTGCTGAGACACACACAAGTTTACTTTATGCAATTTACTTTCAGGGTCAGAGGGCAGGGGCTCATCCTGGCGGGTTTCCAAGTCAAAGAAAATAAAAGCATAATCTTTAGATTTAGGTTTACCCTCATTAGGTTTCATGTAGCATTTATGGTTAGGGTCTTTATATTCTCCACAAGGTTTACAGAATACTTCCCCACACTTGTGAGGCTTGGACCTCTCTTTAAGCAAAACTAGTTTCCCACAATCTAGGCATTTCTTCACATGTTTACACCTATCAGCTTCATGTGCGATAAAACAGCGTTGATTTTTATAAGTCAGATTGCATTTAGGACACAAGATTCCCCCATACTCCTCTACACAAGGAGGTGAGATGGTTTGACAACAGGGACAAATGTTTGAGCATCTGTGGGCTCCTTTGTGATCATACGGGACATGACAGGCATCACAAAAGTATTCACATGCAAACATGCAAAAGCTGCTGTCAGACTAGTAATTACATTGTAATGTCCATTATGAAACAACAAGTTGATTTTAAACTTGGGGTTCTCTACACTACCCTCAAAATACACATCACGACCTTTAGCATTGTAGTTGTACACAGTGATTTTGTAGTCTTTAAGCAGATGTTGGAATTTTTCAAGTTCGGGGATGCCTGCACCACCGTCAGGCATCACAACTCTAGCTCTACGTACAAGTTCTTGAGCCCTAACAGTCTGTCTTTTTCTATCATCTTGTCTAACAGCTTTGTATTCAGGATCTTTAGTAACATTAGCTATAGCCACTACAATAGCACGGGGAAGACACAAGTTATCTTTATTATTAATTACAACAACCCCTCTCCTAGCCTAACATTCTTCGTCAAATGTATTATACAATCCTGGTCTTTTGCGGCCACCCAAACCTACAGGGAGATTAACTCGGGTACATTCAACTTGAAACGTGTCTGTGGACTTAATTGATTCAGCATTTGATTGTACAATTCCCCCAAATATTTGCCACAAGACATCCTCATTTACTTCATTTGCAGGGCGAAAAGCAACAAACCCCGGCTCTTTACTTTTTAGGTTAAGTGAACGCAAAGTGAATCCCAATTGATCGCCCTCCTGACAAACTTCTTTCATATCATTAACAATTTGGCCAAACCCTTGTCTTAGCCAATCAATCTCACTAGTTTCAGGTGGAGGGTTAGAAAACTTAAAAACAGTATTAATTCCATGAATGCGAAATCTCTTTACATAATTTTCATGTTTATCTAGAATATTTACAGGGACAATTACTTCAACAAAATCTTCTACAACATTTACAGGTTCATTACTATCAACAGATTCATTGGAATCTACTGGAGCAGAGTTACTTACATCCATCATCTTGAAGCACTGGGAGCAAAGTGATGCAATAATGGCAGGGTTGCGATAAGGGTTTATATAGGAACAAGGATGACCACAAATGTGGTTATCAAAGGTGACGTGGTACACAAGAGGAAGTGATAGCTGTTTTTTAGATGATGCAATACCACAAAAGTGGTTATCAAAGGTGGTTATCCGGTTGTGATATGGTACACAGGAAGTGATAGTTGCTATTTTAGATGATGCAATACCACACAGGATGTAGACATTATATTTAATATTATATACTATATAATTATTATATACTAATTATGTTTATTATTTGTTTCAGATGGCTGCCGCTCTCCTCCTCCTCTTCTAGCGATAAGTATTTAGTTGTAGAAATATCAAAATATGTATATAATATAAATAGAAATAATATAAGTTTGTATATATATATATATAAATAAATTCATATTTAGCTTTCACAGTTGTTTTCATTATTCTTTCAACTAAATATCCAACAGGTTTTAAAATTACATAATCTAATAGGGGTAGCAGTCCACCAGCTAAAACAACCAGTAGAAAAATTGGCGGGAAAGCAGATAATACAATACATAAAGCTAGGTTATGTTACATACAAAATCACATAAGCGGCTAACAATAGTTGGCAGCACTAGTGCTGCAGCCTAGTAGAGAATTTATGAACTAATACCTCAACTCAGAGTAATAAATTAATAGATTTGTTTAGGTTAAAAGTGAGGTTATGTTACATATACAAAAAATCAACCCTTCAGAACTCATATACAAACAGTTAACTATACCAACAAAAAAACACCCCAACCAGAAATTATTGGTGATTGGTAAGTCAATATATCAATATCAATATAAGTAAGTCAAGACAAAAAGGTTGAACCCGTAAACCTCTAAGATTCACGCTACAATACAATGCTATACAAAAACAACCTAAAGTAACTCATTTAGCATAAATTAGATGTAAGTTTAACATAATATATTTGGTGACCTTTACAAAGGCCATTTTTATACTCAATGGTAAACTTAAGCCCTCTTTCAGCTATTTTTAACATCTATTTATTTCACATTTATTATACACAATAGTATATATATATATATTATAAAATATAACACCCAAAATTTACCAATTATGATCAACGGTAAGGTTTAAGCATTATACACTATATAAAGTGTTTTTTTTTTACAAATCCTACTAGGATAGGATTGAACCCATGAACCTCTCACTATAATACAATTAGTGGTTGGTTAAATTCGAACCCATGAACCTCCAATGATATATTAGTTAGCATTAAACCTCTAGCATAGGTTAGGATTGAACCCGTAAACCTCTAAACTAGGTCACATAAACAGCTGAAATAAACAGCTGTGCGTTAGGATTAAACCCATAAACCTCCCACTATAATACAATACCATTAGTGGTTGGTTAGATTCAAACCCATGAACCTCTAAACTAGATGATCAGCTGAAATAAACAGTTGTGGTTGGTTAAAATTGAACCCGATAACCTCACACTACCCTTTAATAGGTTAGAATTGAACCCTTAGACCTCCAACCAAGACAGGATTGAACCCGTGAACCTCTAGAATAGGCTAGGATTAAACCCATAGACCTCTAAATGATAGGTTAGGATTGAACCCATGAACCTCTAGCATAGATTAAGATTAAATAACCAGAAATGATATATTTTATATTAGGTTAGATTTGAACCCGTGAACCATGTTAAAATCAAACCTCCAATACACACCCTGCATATAGGTACAAAGTAAGGTGTCAATTTACCACCCAATATAAGTTAAGGTGTCATTTACCACTACAAACTCTATACCCATAACTGCTGTTGTAGCTCAACCAGCTAACGCGTACAACTATTATTCAAAAGACCCGAGTTCGGTCCTCGGTCAGGCCAACACTTTTTATCCATAATTTAATATTTAATTTAATAATTTATTTAATACAAACACCTACTGACGTCACGTGATCAGCTGATCATGCGCATTCGAGATAAACAGCTGAGAGTACCCTATCTACACCTAGATCATCTCAAGGTCAATTTCTGCCCATTCCCCGCGACGTCTACTGTTTTTAGATTTTACTCTAAAAAATAAAACATTTTTGTTCTTGAGATTTTTTCAATATCTCTAATAGTTAAGGAGCTACGAGGACAAATTGTTAAGTATTGTTTTGTCAAATTATGACTCAGAATTATTTTAGTTTCATACAGTATTTGGGTTGGCAACATTGTTTACAAGTCTAATTGTTGCATTTTGTCACTACCCAGCTGTAAATTCAAACCCGATTCTTGGTAGTTATGGCGTTCGATGAAAAGGTGGATATGTTGTTAATATTTGGCGAATGCCACAAGAACAAACGCGATGCTGCAAATGTGTATGCTGCAAGGTATCCTGATAGACCTCATCCATCGTGTAGTGCGTTTTCTCGTCTTGAAAAAAAAGCCCGATTTACAGGATCTTTGGCTACTCGAAAGCGTCACCGTGCAAAGCGAGTTACAAATGAAGAAGCTGAAATTGATGTTTTAGCAGCACTGTATGATCGTCCTCATATGTCAACCCGTGAAATAAGTAATGAATTAGGGGTGAGTCAAACTTCTATTATCAACATATTGAAACGGCAAAAATTTCATCCTTTTAAAATTAGTTTAAATCAGGAGTTATTGGATGCAGACTTTCATCGTAGGTTGCAATTGTGCTATTGGTTGCTTCTAGAAATTGAAAACAATCCCATGTTTTTAGGAATGATTCTCTTTTCAGATGAGGCTACATTTGTGAATACTGGTGAGATGAACAGGCATAACATGCACTATTGGTCTGCTACTAATCCCCACTGGATGCGCACCGTAGACCATCAGAGGCGATGGTCCCTTAACGTTTGGTGTGGCATTCTAGGCAATAAGATTATTGGTCCCCACTTTTTTGAGGGAACCCTTAACGGTCCGCGGTATGCTGAATTTATCAGAGAAACTCTCCCTGTCCTATTGGATGAGGTTCCTATTGAAACCCTGAACACCATGTGGTTTCAGCAAGATGGCGCACCTCCGCATTACGCTCATGCTGCCCGAAACGCGGTGAGTGAGAGATTTGAAGAGCGATGGATAGGTAGAGGTGGGCCGGTAGCGTGGCCTCCTCGATCACCTGACCTCACTCCTTTGGATTTTTTTCTGTGGGGAGCCATAAAAGATAAGGTTTACCGCACGCCCCCTACAACCCCCGAAGACATGCGTGAAAGGATACGCAACGAGTGCAGCTCAATTGGCGAAGATGTTTTAATCAGAGTACGGAGAGCTCATGTTCAACGACTCACAAAGTGCATTGAGGCAGAAGGGCGGCACTTCGAACATTTGATTTGAAGTTACTAAGCTTTTAGAACTGGTCCTTTGTTTTGGTATTGCTATTACAGTAATCATTTTTTAGATCATTTAAAACTGTTTTAAATAAAATATGTATTTTTTAAATTGTGTTTGTTTATCTTTAGTCTATTTAAGTCGCATAATAATAACAAAACACATACAAAGTTCACACACAACTAAACAATAACAACACTTAAAACTAACATTGTTTTAAAACATGCTTTAGAATTCATGCAACTTTGTATGAAAACTTTAAGTCCTCGTAGCTCCTTAACCGTTAGAGATATTGAAAAAATCTCAAGAACAAAAATGTTTTATTTTTTAGAGAAAAATCTAAAAACAAATAAAATACAGGGTGTTCCATAAGAAATTTTAAAGTTGGCAGCCATATTGGAAAATGGCGGCCACAATGAAAAAATCTGAAATCGTATTCTTGAGTGAAACTTAAAACTGAGCAAGTTTCAAATTTAAAGTGAGGTGCTAAGTCCTGTAATTAAAAAGTTAGCTATTGGATCACTTTAAAAAACTCACCCTGTATACTAAGAAAAGGTTTAACTGTCTTAAAGAATAGGTTTGGACTTGAATAATATCTTGTTTCACATCCAATTTATGTTATTATGGTATTAATGGATTTATCATGAAATATTCTTGAGTGAAACTTAAAACTGAGCAAGTTTCAAATTTAAAGTGAGGTGCTAAGTCCTGTAATTAAAAAGTTAGCTATTGGATCACTTTAAAAAACTCACCCTGTATACTAAGAAAAGGTTTAACTGTCTTAAAGAATAGGTTTGGACTTGAATAATATCTTGTTTCACATCCAATTTATGTTATTATGGTATTAATGGATTTATCATGAAATGTGCTCAATATTGGCGTTAGGTCTATCTAATTTTAAAACCAGTTAACAATGTGTACTTTCTATACCGTATATTAACATTATGATTAATGTCTACTTTTACACCGAAAAATACTTATTAGAGTACAGTAGACATTTTTTTATTGTTTATGGTCTGTGAAGAAGTAGGTTCTTCTTTAACTATTTTTGTTACTTTTATGGTAAAACTATTTAAGAAACTGATAGAAAATAGAATTTAATATGCATGACAAAAACTAAGTGTATGAATTATAAAAACCAGGAATGAACCCTTAGGTAACCATGGAAACTTATTAGAGTAAACAAAAACTAAATTTAAACTATTCATTTAAACAAATCATTGTCCAGCTGGTTGCACTCACCACAGTAGGCAGAGCCGACAGACGAGCATGAACTATCAGCGAAATTATCATGGCAATCATCAGCCAAACTACCAGGATGGAGAATTCCCTGGACCTCACGGGTATGGAGCACCCAGAGGGAGAGGTGGCTACGCCCCCCCCTCCAAAGAGGAAACGCAAGAGGCAGAAACCCTTGACAAAGAGGAGGTGGTAACAACTCATTCAAGATCCAGCCCCAGAAAAAGTAATCGACGAAGTGCCCAAGCCTCAGCATTTAAGCAAAGCACCGTCGGAAGAGAAGAATGATCCTCTCTATTCAGAGAGCTTCTTCACAGATAAATCTCAAGCCCTAGCTCCCGAACCGGATTTAAAGCAAATTCACTCCGGGTCTTGACAAATTGGCAGAAACCCTTCACGGATACTGCGTCTCACATCAGACAGGATTTGCCAAACGCATTCCTGAATCAGCACTTGCTTATTACTGCGCAATCTACGCTTATGCAAGGATGCTTGATGTAGAGCAGATAAACTTTCGTGGATTGACCTTCGATGACAAGGAATTTTTATCTAAAGTTAAAGAGTTTGAAAATCAGATTCCGAAATCCTTGAACACAGTACTGGCCGGAATTGGCAATACTGTTTGCTCTAATGGCAGAGAATTGAAGTTTAGAATGCTGCCACGCAATTATATTGAAGGAGAGTGCAATAATGTCACCATCCCAGGTTACTTCGGCCAAGCAGGCCCGGTAACTCAACCTCTCTACAAGTCGTACCCTTGAATCGCAGTGTACGCTCAGCCAATACTTGAGGCATATAGAACCAAAAGCAGGTAAGTCACCTGAACCAAATTTTCTAGGAGAAGCCTAAAACTGTATCGTATACTTGCCAGCAATCAATATACATACTTTTAACCTTAAAAATTAGTAAAAAATCATTGTTTGTTATAAAATAAAATTATATGGGTGTTTCCACATCAGATTTTGCGATAAAATGCTTTGAAATTGGAGATACCTGGATTTGGAAATAAAAAATGGATTTACTTGTTTTTGGAACTTAATTAAGAGGATTTACTTGGTTATGAAAGTTACTTTTGAGATGGTCACTGATTATCATGGTTTGGTGAAACAAAATAAAGCATTTAAATTATTTGGAAACATTATCATTACCTGGCATAGTATTAGTAGGCTAAATTAAAATCTTTATAAAGCACTGCCTCTTGGTAAGGAAAATAAAAAAGACACATTTTTTGCTTAAAAAGATGTATTTTATTACCTGCAGAAAACAAAAATCACAAAAGCAATATCAATAAAACACAATAAGAATCCTTGTTCTTAAATAAGTATTAAAATTCAGTTTTTCTTCGTTGTTTTTTTTCACAACAACAAGTTGTAGGCTTTCGTTACACTCTTAGTTCGGAGGATTCCTCCATTGGTTCACATAGAGGATCTTCTTGATCTCCTTCGTCACCATCATCAGGTTTCAAAGGACATAATAAAACTTGTCTGTAATATGACAGGTTTTCATTTTCTGCCCATTTCTCGCCGTAGTGGATTTTCAAAAGTCTCTCAACATTTTTTAGTTTTGCTGCCTTCACTTTGTTTCCAGGCTGTATGATACTTGGATGGATGTTCCGAATAGTCTGCCCTGATGCAGTAATAGACTTAAAAGAGTTCTGGTCAGTTTTATAAAGTTCTTCACCTTTGACTAATACATTCGACGAATTCTTGGCTGACCGTTTTAAAACAAATCTCTTACACTTAGAAATTTTAAAATGCAGTTTGCTTGTCTCCTTTATTTTGTTTTTCACCTCATCTCTCCAGTCATAAATAGGACAGTCATTTTTTACAGCTACGACAGTGGCATGATTTGGTATAGCCTCTAGGTATTGTTCGGGGTTGTCAATAACTTCGTGTCGACGCAAATCCTTTTCAATGTTACCGAAGACACGGTCAGGGGGTATAAAAGAGTGTCCTCTTACAGGAAACACAAGTTCAACCAACTTGATATTTTCAGGTGCATTCTTCAATAGCCAAACACAAGTCATCACCAAAATCATTCGGTTCTTATTTTGGCCACCGCAGCCATCGGCAACAAGCAGTAATTTACTTGCAGTGTCCGGGAAATTCAATTGTGTTAAGAAATGAAATAAAAAACTTGCGATTTCATTTGAACTTTTTTCATATTGGTCCTCCGTCCAGCAGTAGCTAAAACAGTTTTCCTTGGTAAGGTTAGACTTGGAGTGGCCTTTTACAATCGTACAGTTATACAGGTAAAGTTGTCTTAGGTAGTAAGCCTCTTGGTCTTGTACTTTGGGAAGAACTAAATTCTTCTGGCAATCAAAGGAAACTATTATTACATTTGGACTTTTCTCCCTCAAAAAATCATAGAAAGCTTTAGCACGAAGTTTGTGCACTCTTTTTTCTATTAGTAATGTATTCTTCTTAGCAATGTCCTTTTCAGCTTTAATTCTCTCACCAAACTCAAGGCATATAGAACACATATCAGTTCTTGGGTGACCAAATCCCAAATTGAATTTAGTATTAAGAATATGTCGAAAGTAAGAACTCTTCACCTTTAGACTTTCTTCTGCTTGGGCGTCATACATTCTAAACAGTTTATTGATTGATAATTGAGATGGTAGATACTTCCTCAAGCTTTTTCCTCTGCAGTAATGAGATTCGATACAGTGCAACGATGAAATAAACTTTACGACTGCTTCTTTCTTGGGAAGGTATTGTTGTGATTTTTTGTCACCACCACGTTTTCTTTTTTAACTTGCCCTGTTTTAAAACCAGCTTTATTGATGTTATCGACTCGACTATTGGTGATGCCTAGTATGTTTATAAAGGCCTTTTTGCACACTGGAATTATTGATAGAGTGTCATAGTCCCTCACAAAATACTTCGTTGAAAACATTCTATGTTCTTTTTCGCCGGTTTTTGTCCTTCTTCTTTTGATAGGCTTAGAAGCACAATGAGATAAGATAACATTATCTTGTATATATTTTTCCTTTGATTCGTAGAATGCTGCATGAAATTTCTTTAGTTGAGCCATTTTTAGGGTTCGGCACTTGTAGGCCTTAGTTTTGTGGTTACAATTCGGGTACACAGGCATGTTGTGAGGAGAGTACCTACAAAAAACAAACTGTGTTAGAGCCTAGGGCCTATTAAATGGGACTTGATGCTGAGGCAGTGCTTTCATGAATCGCGTAGAAGTAAATTATAGGCCTAAACTCTAAAACTTTATGGGAACAAAAATTCTAGTCCTAGGCCTATGATAAAAGTATAAGGGATTACCTGTTTCGTTTGGCTACGTTCTTCTTCCACTTATCCTCTTGCCTTGGCCGTTTTCTAGCCTTTTTAGGGCTTACAATAGAAGCAGTGGAGGAAAAACTGCTGTCCATTTTAGTAAAATATCTAAATTATATTTAAGTTGAACTAATTAAAACACACGCTCACGGGATAAGCTCAGATAACCAACACACAGCACAGAACAACAGACAGCTCACTGTAACAGCTGGTGGGAGGAGCTGAGTAGGGGGCTTTGGTCACCCCTGGGTCCATGACTCAGCAGTTTTTAAAATTCTGAATTGCAGATTTTAAATTGCATGACTCAGCAGTTTTTAAATTGGAAAAGTTTGTGGAAGTATTGGTACTTTATTTGTTTAAGGTGTAGAAAGATTATATTATTCTTCAATAAAATGTCTATATGAACTTAACTTATCGTAAACTTAATTTTGTGGATGATGACGGAAAATAATCATTCTGGTTACCGAGAGCGCGGCG